GCATCCCCAAGGGAGCCTTCCTCCCTCCACTGGACAATGTTCAGTCTAACAATTCACAAATCCAAAAACTACTCTCTACCAGACCCCCCTTGCCTTCTTATAAAGGTCACCCACTTCTAACTACCCAACAACAATTCATTCCTAAAATTCTTTTCTCTGTCCTGCCCCTATTACCCATTAAAACCTATCTTATTATATCCTATCATATCACTTCAATAATTAAGTTATGCATGAGATTTTCAGTTTTTCATTAAATTATTTGATTGGATATTGTTCTCAGTTTTCTCTTCATTTAATTGTGTTGTTGATGGGATTTCCTTCGCTGAACACTGTTATTTTCATATAGTAAGATGCTGATCACTATCTTGTTTCGTCCACTCTTTAAAGTGAAATTTATTTTGGCTACCGGTACTGTTTTTTTGAATAAATAGTGATGACGTTGGTGTTCTTGGATAGTTCTGAGAGATGTTTAATGGATTGTTTTTCTATGAACTTTGGGATTGTCGATTGATTATATACATCCTCATGGAATTTGTTTTCAATCTTATTGAGAAAAACATGAAGTGTGACGTTGACAGAGAGGAAGGGCAAAATAGTGTAATATAATCTCATCTCAGTATTACAAAGAAATGCATATTTAAATATCAAGATGATGCACCATCAAGTGCTTAAACTTTCCTCTCCAACCTTCAGAACTATAAGTCCAAAATTTGGTGCAATGTTATTTCAAAGATGTAATTAAGTATCAAACTAATTTAAAAAATAATCTGTCAATTTTTTTATACTTAGTTAACTGTAAGTAAATAATTTGGTTAATCATTATATGAGCTAGAATGGAACATTTCTTGCCAATTCAAATAAATTTTTATTTTCCCTTCCTATTTTCAGCTATACCGATCTACCTCATGTTTCTTCCTTCCACCTCCTTCCTTTTTCATTGGTAATCTAGAAGACTTAAAAACAGGAATTTGTCATTCGTCTTGAGTGACGTGTTTGAGGAACATGTCTTTAGAAGTAATGGAAAATTCAGAAAATGATCACACTATGTAGGTGGTCATACCCTTTTCACCTCTTGGTTCATGCACATTATTTTTTCCTTCCTCAACCCAAATCAGTAGTTAATACTTTCTAGCTTCCGTCTATTCCTTAATCATCCTTCTTTCTCTCACAAATCCCTTTTCATAATCTAGGGATATTTTATTCCTGTCTTTAATGAATGTTTGTCCAACTTTCTATAAATCATCACTCTTTCTATATATTGTATCATTATAGGAAAGGGCCGCAATTCTTCGGTGCCAACCGAAGTGGCCATAGCAGCAGTGGTAGCAGTTATGGCAGCAGCGGTGATGTTGTTCAGGACATCAAAGACCACAATAGTAATTGCAATTGTGGTTGGTTTGCTGTTGCTCCTCGGGGCTTATTGGTGGAGTGGCCACAATACTGGTACATTTAGGAGTCCTTTGCATGACCCAGCCTTAGCTTAACATTATTTAATACCTTAAACTAATTAAGCATACAATGAACTTTAAAAATCTGAATTTCAATTTAAGTCAGATGGAATCATTATTTATAAACGCATTGGAAAGTAAATTGTTTCGTTCTTTACAATGCAACATAATTCATTATACTGTATTTTTATACATAAATGAATATACCTAAAACTAATTAATCATAAATATTCTCTTATTTCTCTAATATACTAGTTCCTTAAATTGTAATTATTACCCTTCTTAGGCTTTCTTATACTAATCTAGTTTCATTCTTTTGTGCTGATTTTCAATTTGTTATTTTTTCCAATAAGCATAATACATTTTTATTGAAACTGTAAGAGGTGCTAAAAAGGAGGTTAAGTCACCCCCCTAAACTGACTAATGAATAATAATATACATTTTATACTTATTTTTACTATTTTCAGTTGCTTGCAACCCTGGTTGAATTATTTTTTCCTTTTGGGGTGTTCAATTGCTACCTGGATCAACATCTACAAACTTTTTGTATTTCAAAGTGTATGCATTTTATAGATGCCTCTGGGTTTGGTAGAGATATTGTAATTTCCTGGTCCAATACCCTCTACTTTTTATTGGGAGTTGTTAATCACAAGGACCATGAACAACACACATTAGCACGAAAGATGAACACTTAATTTTGTATTGTCTGTGGTCATTAAAATTAATGGCCTCTTTTTGTGATCATATTATTATTCCAAGTTCTACTGTTGCATATAATTTTACTCATGGAAATGATCAAATTTGGTGTTTCGTTTTAATGCTAGATGTCGAGCCACAATATTCAGGAGCAAGAATAGAGGGGGATGTTGTTACTTTGGATTTTGTGAAAAAAATGATGGAAGATTTCAAGAACCAGAAGTTCTTACATAAACGGTACTGAAGGAAGAAAACCATTGTTTCTCTTTTTGTTTCTTGATGAGTTATTGAAGTGTCTTCTCTCTTGTCCTCCAATTTTTTAGGTATGCATTCCAGATTGTATTGCAAACAAGAGAAATTTTGCAATCTTTGCCTTCTCTTGTTGACATACATGTTCCTAATGGCAAACGTTTTACTGTTTGTGGTGATGTGCATGGTCAGGTAATTGGTTTATTATAATCTTTGAACTGTCTATGATGTTATTTGAGTCACATTCTTGATTTTGAACTTTAGATCTGCTGAAGTTGTGTTGAAATAATTAGTAAATCTATGTAGTAAATCTATGTAATCATTACGTCTAAGGTAGGGGGTTGTGTGTTAGATAACCTATGTACCTAACTCTGTCGAAGTAGTTTAGGACGGTGCTTTGATGTTTAATATTCCTATTGTATCAGCTTTTCATGTACATAAATAGAGGACTATGAGAGGGATTCATTAAGCCCTCAAAACATATTTTTCTCTCTTGTTTAAATCTGAAGTAGTTGATTGGTGACTTTTTAATATGGAAAAACGAATTGTTGCTTATATCTTCGTGATATCTTCTGATAGTTTGACATTTAAGACTTAGGATTGTTATTATATCCTCTGTTTCATTTTCCTCCCATATTTTCATGGACTAAGATTCCCTGACCCTTATGTGGAGGAATTGGGTAGCTATTTTTGAGCCTGCCAATTATTTATTTAGTTGTGTTAATTTTGCTCCATTGTTCAGGAGGGACTTTATCTACCATATTGGATATAAAACCCTTATATTTTTTTAGGGAATGCTATTAGATGGGAAAATAGAAAGAATCACAGAAACATGGGATAGGAAATCTTTCTTTGAGAGAAGGAATAAGTAAATAATACAGAACATTTCTTTGAGAGAAGGGATAAGTAAATAATACAGAAGAAAAACGGGATCCTTCTTTGAACGTTTGATCAAGAAACCCAATTGAAATAATGGTTTTATTTCATATGATAAGCAACTGGATCAAGAAACCCATTTTAAAAGACTGCAAAAGCACGTCTTTTAAAATTCAGGCATTCGTTCCTATTTCTAAACATAATCACCAATTTGAAGCCCACTGGCTCTAGTGCACTCCATTACAGGGCCTTTGCCATGTCTTACCAAAACCTTGGAAATGGTATTGGAAGCTAAAATTGTTAATAGTTTGCATTTGTAAACATCATAAACTGAAAAAAGCTGTGAAAATAAAAACTAACCATTCCCCACTGTTGTGAAATAAAGCATCTTCCCTTTCTATTGGATGCAGGCAGGGAGAAAGAACACTCTGGAGTTTGAAATTTAACAAGTCACACTAAAATATCATGATTTACTGTCTATAGGCGAATAATTCCCATTGCAGTGTTGGCACTAAGTAAGGGGGTTGTATAATTCTAAGAGGTGATTTTTTTAATAAAAAAATAGACTCCTGAAAGGAAGGAACTTTGAAAAAGTGACAATTGAGGGAGAAAACTGTAGCCCATTTTTCTTAAAAGCCAGCCTTGACTTTGCTTAGCATTGTGTTTCCTAGGTAACTTTTAGTAATCATAGCGATGCAGAAAAAATAAAGTTTGACTCTCATAAAAAGGTCCTCCTGTAATTGTAATGTATTTAATTTATAAATGTCTTTTCTCCAGTTTAATTTCTTTCAAACTAACTTGAATGTAATGTGAAGTCTTTTTTACCCAATTGCATCATGCTGCTTGGCTTTTGTATTATCGTATTTCCCCCCTATAATTAACCTTGCAAATTGATTCTTTCCACCTTGATTTCTGCAGTTCTATGATCTTTTGAATATTTTTGAGCTTAATGGACTTCCTTCAGAAGAGAATCCGTATCTATTTAACGGTGACTTTGTGGATAGGGGATCTTTTTCATTGGAAGTTATCCTGACCTTGTTTGCATTTAAGTGCCTGTCTCCATCAGGTAAAGCCTAGATTTTTGAGTTAGTTTTGTTATCTTGTTTTTCGGAGACATCATAAATATATGATCGCTTAAGAACCTGATTAGATACTTTTTATGATCTTTTAGAATAAAAAACGGTTTTTTTTGTTCATGACAACTTAAATTGAAATCCATTACAATTCCTCAGGAAATTTAGCCTCTTTAAAATGCAATATTTACTTTTATTGTTTCAAGTGAATTGTATCATGTTGTTTGTGTGTGGGCATTCATNGCCCCTATTACCCATTAAAACCTATCTTATTATATCCTATCATATCACTTCAATAATTAAGTTATGCATGAGATTTTCAGTTTTTCATTAAATTATTTGATTGGATATTGTTCTCAGTTTTCTCTTCATTTAATTGTGTTGTTGATGGGATTTCCTTCGCTGAACACTGTTATTTTCATATAGTAAGATGCTGATCACTATCTTGTTTCGTCCACTCTTTAAAGTGAAATTTATTTTGGCTACCGGTACTGTTTTTTTGAATAAATAGTGATGACGTTGGTGTTCTTGGATAGTTCTGAGAGATGTTTAATGGATTGTTTTGCTATGAACTTTGGGATTGTCGATTGATTATATACATCCTCATGGAATTTGTTTTCAATCTTATTGAGAAAAACATGAAGTGTGACGTTGACAGAGAGGAAGGGCAAAATAGTGTAATATAATCTCATCTCAGTATTACAAAGAAATGCATATTTAAATATCAAGATGATGCACCATCAAGTGCTTAAACTTTCCTCTCCAACCTTCAGAACTATAAGTCCAAAATTTGGTGCAATGTTATTTCAAAGATGTAATTAAGTATCAAACTAATTTAAAAAATAATCTGTCAATTTTTTTATACTTAGTTAACTGTAAGTAAATAATTTGGTTAATCATTATATGAGCTAGAATGGAACATTTCTTGCCAATTCAAATAAATTTTTATTTTCCCTTCCTATTTTCAGCTATACCGATCTACCTCATGTTTCTTCCTTCCACCTCCTTCCTTTTTCATTGGTAATCTAGAAGACTTAAAAACAGGAATTTGTCATTCGTCTTGAGTGACGTGTTTGAGGAACATGTCTTTAGAAGTAATGGAAAATTCAGAAAATGATCACACTATGTAGGTGGTCATACCCTTTTCACCTCTTGGTTCATGCACATTATTTTTTCCTTCCTCAACCCAAATCAGTAGTTAATACTTTCTAGCTTCCGTCTATTCCTTAATCATCCTTCTTTCTCTCACAAATCCCTTTTCATAATCTAGGGATATTTTATTCCTGTCTTTAATGAATGTTTGTCCAACTTTCTATAAATCATCACTCTTTCTATATATTGTATCATTATAGGAAAGGGCCGCAATTCTTCGGTGCCAACCGAAGTGGCCATAGCAGCAGTGGTAGCAGTTATGGCAGCAGCGGTGATGTTGTTCAGGACATCAAAGACCACAATAGTAATTGCAATTGTGGTTGGTTTGCTGTTGCTCCTCGGGGCTTATTGGTGGAGTGGCCACAATACTGGTACATGTAGGAGTCCTTTGCATGACCCAGCCTTAGCTTAACATTATTTAATACCTTAAACTAATTAAGCATACAATGAACTTTAAAAATCTGAATTTCAATTTAAGTCAGATGGAATCATTATTTATAAACGCATTGGAAAGTAAATTGTTTCGTTCTTTACAATGCAACATAATTCATTATACTGTATTTTTATACATAAATGAATATACCTAAAACTAATTAATCATAAATATTCTCTTATGTCTCTAATATACTAGTTCCTTAAAGTGTAATTATTACCCTTCTTAGGCTTTCTTATACTAATCTAGTTTCATTCTTTTGTGCTGATTTTCAATTTGTTATTTTTTCCAATAAGCATAATACATTTTTATTGAAACTGTAAGAGGTGCTAAAAAGGAGGTTAAGTCACCCCCCTAAACTGACTAATGAATAATAATATACATTTTATACTTATTTTTACTATTTTCAGTTGCTTGCAACCCTGGTTGAATTATTTTTTCCTTTTGGGGTGTTCAATTGCTACCTGGATCAACATCTACAAACTTTTTGTATTTCAAAGTGTATGCATTTTATAGATGCCTCTGGGTTTGGTAGAGATATTGTAATTTCCTGGTCCAATACCCTCTACTTTTTATTGGGAGTTGTTAATCACAAGGACCATGAACAACACACATTAGCACGAAAGATGAACACTTAATTTTGTATTGTCTGTGGTCATTAAAATTAATGGCCTCTTTTTGTGATCATATTATTATTCCAAGTTCTACTGTTGCATATAATTTTACTCATGGAAATGATCAAATTTGGTGTTTCGTTTTAATGCTAGATGTCGAGCCACAATATTCAGGAGCAAGAATAGAGGGGGATGTTGTTACTTTGGATTTTGTGAAAAAAATGATGGAAGATTTCAAGAACCAGAAGTTCTTACATAAACGGTACTGAAGGAAGAAAACCATTGTTTCTCTTTTTGTTTCTTGATGAGTTATTGAAGTGTCTTCTCTCTTGTCCTCCAATTTTTTAGGTATGCATTCCAGATTGTATTGCAAACAAGAGAAATTTTGCAATCTTTGCCTTCTCTTGTTGACATACATGTTCCTAATGGCAAACGTTTTACTGTTTGTGGTGATGTGCATGGTCAGGTAATTGGTTTATTATAATCTTTGAACTGTCTATGATGTTATTTGAGTCACATTCTTGATTTTGAACTTTAGATCTGCTGAAGTTGTGTTGAAATAATTAGTAAATCTATGTAGTAAATCTATGTAATCATTACGTCTAAGGTAGGGGGTTGTGTGTTAGATAACCTATGTACCTAACTCTGTCGAAGTAGTTTAGGACGGTGCTTTGATGTTTAATATTCCTATTGTATCAGCTTTTCATGTACATAAATAGAGGACTATGAGAGGGATTCATTAAGCCCTCAAAACATATTTTTCTCTCTTGTTTAAATCTGAAGTAGTTGATTGGTGACTTTTTAATATGGAAAAACGAATTGTTGCTTATATCTTCGTGATATCTTCTGATAGTTTGACATTTAAGACTTAGGATTGTTATTATATCCTCTGTTTCATTTTCCTCCCATATTTTCATGGACTAAGATTCCCTGACCCTTATGTGGAGGAATTGGGTAGCTATTTTTGAGCCTGCCAATTATTTATTTAGTTGTGTTAATTTTGCTCCATTGTTCAGGAGGGACTTTATCTACCATATTGGATATAAAACCCTTATATTTTTTTAGGGAATGCTATTAGATGGGAAAATAGAAAGAATCACAGAAACATGGGATAGGAAATCTTTCTTTGAGAGAAGGAATAAGTAAATAATACAGAACATTTCTTTGAGAGAAGGGATAAGTAAATAATACAGAAGAAAAACGGGATCCTTCTTTGAACGTTTGATCAAGAAACCCAATTGAAATAATGGTTTTATTTCATATGATAAGCAACTGGATCAAGAAACCCATTTTAAAAGACTGCAAAAGCACGTCTTTTAAAATTCAGGCATTCGTTCCTATTTCTAAACATAATCACCAATTTGAAGCCCACTGGCTCTAGTGCACTCCATTACAGGGCCTTTGCCATGTCTTACCAAAACCTTGGAAATGGTATTGGAAGCTAAAATTGTTAATAGTTTGCATTTGTAAACATCATTAACTGAAAAAAGCTGTGAAAATAAAAACTAACCATTCCCCACTGTTGTGAAATAAAGCATCTTCCCTTTCTATTGGATGCAGGCAGGGAGAAAGAACACTCTGGAGTTTGAAATTTAACAAGTCACACTAAAATATCATGATTTACTGTCTATAGGCGAATAATTCCCATTGCAGTGTTGGCACTAAGTAAGGGGGTTGTATAATTCTAAGAGGTGATTTTTTTAATAAAAAAATAGACTCCTGAAAGGAAGGAACTTTGAAAAAGTGACAATTGAGGGAGAAAACTGTAGCCCATTTTTCTTAAAAGCCAGCCTTGACTTTGCTTAGCATTGTGTTTCCTAGGTAACTTTTAGTAATCATAGCGATGCAGAAAAAATAAAGTTTGACTCTCATAAAAAGGTCCTCCTGTAATTGTAATGTATTTAATTTATAAATGTCTTTTCTCCAGTTTAATTTCTTTCAAACTAACTTGAATGTAATGTGAAGTCTTTTTTACCCAATTGCATCATGCTGCTTGGCTTTTGTATTATCGTATTTCCCCCCTATAATTAACCTTGCAAATTGATTCTTTCCACCTTGATTTCTGCAGTTCTATGATCTTTTGAATATTTTTGAGCTTAATGGACTTCCTTCAGAAGAGAATCCGTATCTATTTAACGGTGACTTTGTGGATAGGGGATCTTTTTCATTGGAAGTTATCCTGACCTTGTTTGCATTTAAGTGCCTGTCTCCATCAGGTAAAGCCTAGATTTTTGAGTTAGTTTTGTTATCTTGTTTTTCGGAGTCATCATAAATATATGATCGCTTAAGAACCTGATTAGATACTTTTTATGATCTTTTAGAATAAAAAACGGTTTTTTTTGTTCATGACAACTTAAATTGAAATCCATTACAATTCCTCAGGAAATTTAGCCTCTTTAAAATGCAATATTTACTTTTATTGTTTCAAGTGAATTGTATCATGTTGTTTGTGTGTGGGCATTCATTTACTGCTTTCCTCACTTTGTAAAATTCACTTGTTTAAGGGAGGAATATTTTTGTTCATGCAATATGGTAACTTGTTTTGTTGCCATGTAATTTTCAGCCATATATTTAGCCAGAGGAAATCACGAGAGCAAGAGCATGAACAAGATATATGGTTTTGAGGGTGAGGTGCGCTCAAAGTTGAATGATACTTTTGTCGAACTCTTTGCGGAAGTATTCTGCTTTTTACCACTGGCTCATGTGATAAATGAGAAAGTTTTCGTTGTTCATGGAGGTCTTTTCAGTGTTGACGGGGTCAAACTCTCTGACATCCGATCAATTAATCGATTCTGTGAACCTCCTGAAGAAGGTTAGATGCTTACTTTTTTTTTCCTTTAATTGATCTCAGCAATACCTTAATCACTCTAAACTTTCAGTTCGTGCACTTCACCGACTAAAATCCCTCTGGTTTTTTCACCGAGTATTGTAGTTTTATTTGCACCTATGATTGGTATGTGTAGGGCTGATGTGTGAAATTCTTTGGAGTGATCCACAACCTCTCCCTGGAAGGGGCCCAAGCAAGCGTGGTGTGGGTCTTTCTTTTGGTCCAGATGTTACAGAACAGTTTTTGCAGGAAAATAATTTAGGTGTGTTTTCCATTAGNGCTTAACATTATTTAATACCTTAAACTAATTAAGCATACAATGAACTTTAAAAATCTGAATTTCAATTTAAGTCAGATGGAATCATTATTTATAAACGCATTGGAAAGTAAATTGTTTCGTTCTTTACAATGCAACATAATTCATTATACTGTATTTTTATACATAAATGAATATACCTAAAACTAATTAATCATAAATATTCTCTTATGTCTCTAATATACTAGTTCCTTAAAGTGTAATTATTACCCTTCTTAGGCTTTCTTATACTAATCTAGTTTCATTCTTTTGTGCTGATTTTCAATTTGTTATTTTTTCCAATAAGCATAATACATTTTTATTGAAACTGTAAGAGGTGCTAAAAAGGAGGTTAAGTCACCCCCCTAAACTGACTAATGAATAATAATATACATTTTATACTTATTTTTACTATTTTCAGTTGCTTGCAACCCTGGTTGAATTATTTTTTCCTTTTGGGGTGTTCAATTGCTACCTGGATCAACATCTACAAACTTTTTGTATTTCAAAGTGTATGCATTTTATAGATGCCTCTGGGTTTGGTAGAGATATTGTAATTTCCTGGTCCAATACCCTCTACTTTTTATTGGGAGTTGTTAATCACAAGGACCATGAACAACACACATTAGCACGAAAGATGAACACTTAATTTTGTATTGTCTGTGGTCATTAAAATTAATGGCCTCTTTTTGTGATCATATTATTATTCCAAGTTCTACTGTTGCATATAATTTTACTCATGGAAATGATCAAATTTGGTGTTTCGTTTTAATGCTAGATGTCGAGCCACAATATTCAGGAGCAAGAATAGAGGGGGATGTTGTTACTTTGGATTTTGTGAAAAAAATGATGGAAGATTTCAAGAACCAGAAGTTCTTACATAAACGGTACTGAAGGAAGAAAACCATTGTTTCTCTTTTTGTTTCTTGATGAGTTATTGAAGTGTCTTCTCTCTTGTCCTCCAATTTTTTAGGTATGCATTCCAGATTGTATTGCAAACAAGAGAAATTTTGCAATCTTTGCCTTCTCTTGTTGACATACATGTTCCTAATGGCAAACGTTTTACTGTTTGTGGTGATGTGCATGGTCAGGTAATTGGTTTATTATAATCTTTGAACTGTCTATGATGTTATTTGAGTCACATTCTTGATTTTGAACTTTAGATCTGCTGAAGTTGTGTTGAAATAATTAGTAAATCTATGTAGTAAATCTATGTAATCATTACGTCTAAGGTAGGGGGTTGTGTGTTAGATAACCTATGTACCTAACTCTGTCGAAGTAGTTTAGGACGGTGCTTTGATGTTTAATATTCCTATTGTATCAGCTTTTCATGTACATAAATAGAGGACTATGAGAGGGATTCATTAAGCCCTCAAAACATATTTTTCTCTCTTGTTTAAATCTGAAGTAGTTGATTGGTGACTTTTTAATATGGAAAAACGAATTGTTGCTTATATCTTCGTGATATCTTCTGATAGTTTGACATTTAAGACTTAGGATTGTTATTATATCCTCTGTTTCATTTTCCTCCCATATTTTCATGGACTAAGATTCCCTGACCCTTATGTGGAGGAATTGGGTAGCTATTTTTGAGCCTGCCAATTATTTATTTAGTTGTGTTAATTTTGCTCCATTGTTCAGGAGGGACTTTATCTACCATATTGGATATAAAACCCTTATATTTTTTTAGGGAATGCTATTAGATGGGAAAATAGAAAGAATCACAGAAACATGGGATAGGAAATCTTTCTTTGAGAGAAGGAATAAGTAAATAATACAGAACATTTCTTTGAGAGAAGGGATAAGTAAATAATACAGAAGAAAAACGGGATCCTTCTTTGAACGTTTGATCAAGAAACCCAATTGAAATAATGGTTTTATTTCATATGATAAGCAACTGGATCAAGAAACCCATTTTAAAAGACTGCAAAAGCACGTCTTTTAAAATTCAGGCATTCGTTCCTATTTCTAAACATAATCACCAATTTGAAGCCCACTGGCTCTAGTGCACTCCATTACAGGGCCTTTGCCATGTCTTACCAAAACCTTGGAAATGGTATTGGAAGCTAAAATTGTTAATAGTTTGCATTTGTAAACATCATAAACTGAAAAAAGCTGTGAAAATAAAAACTAACCATTCCCCACTGTTGTGAAATAAAGCATCTTCCCTTTCTATTGGATGCAGGCAGGGAGAAAGAACACTCTGGAGTTTGAAATTTAACAAGTCACACTAAAATATCATGATTTACTGTCTATAGGCGAATAATTCCCATTGCAGTGTTGGCACTAAGTAAGGGGGTTGTATAATTCTAAGAGGTGATTTTTTTAATAAAAAAATAGACTCCTGAAAGGAAGGAACTTTGAAAAAGTGACAATTGAGGGAGAAAACTGTAGCCCATTTTTCTTAAAAGCCAGCCTTGACTTTGCTTAGCATTGTGTTTCCTAGGTAACTTTTAGTAATCATAGCGATGCAGAAAAAATAAAGTTTGACTCTCATAAAAAGGTCCTCCTGTAATTGTAATGTATTTAATTTATAAATGTCTTTTCTCCAGTTTAATTTCTTTCAAACTAACTTGAATGTAATGTGAAGTCTTTTTTACCCAATTGCATCATGCTGCTTGGCTTTTGTATTATCGTATTTCCCCCCTATAATTAACCTTGCAAATTGATTCTTTCCACCTTGATTTCTGCAGTTCTATGATCTTTTGAATATTTTTGAGCTTAATGGACTTCCTTCAGAAGAGAATCCGTATCTATTTAACGGTGACTTTGTGGATAGGGGATCTTTTTCATTGGAAGTTATCCTGACCTTGTTTGCATTTAAGTGCCTGTCTCCATCAGGTAAAGCCTAGATTTTTGAGTTAGTTTTGTTATCTTGTTTTTCGGAGACATCATAAATATATGATCGCTTAAGAACCTGATTAGATACTTTTTATGATCTTTTAGAATAAAAAACGGTTTTTTTTGTTCATGACAACTTAAATTGAAATCCATTACAATTCCTCAGGAAATTTAGCCTCTTTAAAATGCAATATTTACTTTTATTGTTTCAAGTGAATTGTATCATGTTGTTTGTGTGTGGGCATTCATTTACTGCTTTCCTCACTTTGTAAAATTCACTTGTTTAAGGGAGGAATATTTTTGTTCATGCAATATGGTAACTTGTTTTGTTGCCATGTAATTTTCAGCCATATATTTAGCCAGAGGAAATCACGAGAGCAAGAGCATGAACAAGATATATGGTTTTGAGGGTGAGGTGCGCTCAAAGTTGAATGATACTTTTGTCGAACTCTTTGCGGAAGTATTCTGCTTTTTACCACTGGCTCATGTGATAAATGAGAAAGTTTTCGTAGTTCATGGAGGTCTTTTCAGTGTTGACGGGGTCAAACTCTCTGACATCCGATCAATTAATCGATTCTGTGAACCTCCTGAAGAAGGTTAGATGCTTACTTTTTTTTTCCTTTAATTGATCTTAGCAATACCTTAATCACTCTAAACTTTCAGTTCGTGCACTTCACCGACTAAAATCCCTCTGGTTTTTTCACCGAGTATTGTAGTTTTATTTGCACCTATGATTGGTATGTGTAGGGCTGATGTGTGAAATTCTTTGGAGTGATCCACAACCTCTCCCTGGAAGGGGCCCAAGCAAGCGTGGTGTGGGTCTTTCTTTTGGTCCAGATGTTACAGAACAGTTTTTGCAGGAAAATAATTTAGGTGTGTTTTCCATTAGGCAGATACTTTCCTAAAGTTTATTTGTTCTCCTGTCAGTGGCTTCACATAAGTTACCAATTTGCAGATTTAGTTGTGAGATCTCATGAAGTAAAGGATGAGGGTTACGAGATTGAACATGATGGTAAACTCATAACTGTCTTTTCTGCTCCAAATTACTGTGACCAGGTAATCAAATCCCTTTTTTCTACATTCATTTCTAAGTAAGTTTAGCTATTTGCTTACATGATTGTCTAAGAAGATTTTGTGGATCCCAATCCCATTTCATGGAAAGAGACTTTTTTTGTTGTAATCTGCCTTTATCTATAATAATTTGTGTAGACTCATTCTTTAACCTGTGCTTGAGTATGTAAACATAACGAGACAAGCTCTAGAAGAGAGGCAATTAAGCACGTTGCATGATTGACCAGGATTCTTTTCCAATCACATTAAATGTGTTAATGAAAACCATATTACCCACCTTGCTTTTGTACATGTTTGCATGGATAGTGTGCAGTGTCATTGGCCTTCTTATATTAATTTCTGAGTATATTTTGATCTTGGTGTTAAAATCTACATAACGTTGATTTTTGTTGCATGCTGCAGATGGGTAACAAAGGTGCCTTTATTCGGTTTGAAGCACCAGATTTGAAACCTAACATTGTCACATTCTCAGCAGTGGTTAGTATCTTTTGTGCTTTAGACCATGCTATACTAAGCTATGTCTTGTTTTGTGCTAAAAAATAATACGAATAAATAAATATGTTCGTTCATTGTTTTATTTAAGAAATAGTATGGTGCAATATGATTGCATTTCTTCCAATCTGTATTCCTATATTGGGGTTGACATTCATTTCTTCTGTCTGTTTACTATATTGAAATTGCAGTCACACCCTGATGTCAAACCAATGGCTTATGCAAACAACTTCCTCAGGATGTTCTCATAATTTACAAAGCTGACTAGAAGCCTAGAACTGTCAATGGTTTAATGCTGTTTTGAATGACTGTTATTCGCCAAGGACATGATTCAAGCGATGGCTAGAGAAGATTTGGTACCGTGCTACATGTTTATCTTTGTTGTTCTGTATAATATTTTTGGCTCAACATTTTATTAAAACTCATTTTTTCTCCCCCTCCCCCCTAATCTTTACCCCTTCAGTTTTGTGCTGTTTTATTTTCTGTGAACAAGTGTAAGGAAATTTACATCTCCATTTAGCTTCATGAAACTCTGGTGATAATGTTTAACTGAAATGACCACATGAAAATCACTGCTTAGATGCAAGACCATTTACTCTGTTTTTGTGCTAGTGTGTTGCCGATCATTAGACTTGGCTATCAAGTTTGAATGCGATATTTGTTTGCAAAGTTGTTGGTTGCTTTCAGGATTCAATGTTTCTTTAACATGATTTTTTTTATCAAATTAAATTTCATCCTTGCTAGAAGCAGTCCATGACCGTGAGATAATATTCTGCTTAGCAATTTTTTGTGTGAGGATATCATCAAAGACTTATTGTCCACTTTTATCATGTGAAGTTTTTAATTGATTTTCCGTGTAGAACTTCTAGAGTAATACGGAATCATTATATCTATAACCTCTTATTGAGTCGGGATTAGTTAAGATTATATCTATAACCAAAAAGTTTTAAGGTTTTACCTAAACAAGTAGATTAGAAGTATTCACTTGTTTAATGAATCCGTATGTATAGTTTGAATTTGTTTCATTAATGAAAAATTCTTATATTAACTTATTATGAATATGAGTAATATTTAATTATTTATTTGAGAATGAGAATGTGAATTAAAAAAAAAATACATATTTGTCTTAATATTAGGTATTGTCAAAATTTGTTTTGAATAGGATAGAAAATACTTATATTGATTGGATAAGAGTAATATTCAATGTTTTAAATTGGATGTAGGGATAAAAATGAGTACATACATATCTATCATAGTACTTGTCTTCATATTTGTTTTAATAATTTGATCTTATCAAAATACTTTTAATTTATTTAATAATTTAAATAATTAATATTAACCTTTTCTTTAATATTTAATTTTGTAATTTATTTTTATAACAAACATATTTTTCTATAATTATTTGATGTTTACTCAATTGTTGATATTTATATATTATAGTTTTTTTCTTGATATTTGATAATAAAGGAAAAAAAAGACATGTATCATTTTTTATATTTGAATACTCGATAATTTAATATGATTTTTGTTATGGTTTTCATTTTGGTTAAAAGGGAATATTTAATTAATATTTACATATAGTAAAGAAGTTAGTACGGTATATTTGTTGATGAAGATACAACATAAATTTGATACATACTTTAACAAATGGAGATGAGATAGTAAATCTTACATCTTTCATTGCCATTCATTATCAATTTTGATAGCACTTGTGCTTACATTCAATAATAATTTAACTTTGAAGAATCTTGAATGGTGTTACGAAATTTAGTTGTTGGGTTACATTAAACTCATAATGGTGCAATTTTGAAGATTATCCATTGTCTAATTGCAAGTTTGCAACGCATAACTACTTTCACGAGAGATGTTTGAAAGATAACTTGGATTTTTCCCAATTTATCAATAAATTAATTTATCAATAACTTTGACAACAACAACTAGATGATTTAATTATCATCATAATCAATATTGCAAATTAAGGAGTACAAAAGACACTCATAAGTTAGAGTACCTTAACTTATGTACTTTATTGGTAACTTTTTCTTAAACTTCACTTAGCTTTTTATTTCATTAAATCATATGCGAATCCCTTACTTAGATTAACCAATGAAATTGTGCACATAAAGATATATATAGATTTTCTCACTACTTTTGGTACTACTAAGGCAAATTAGTGACTTATGATTTAATACATATTAGATAGGTAAGTTATTGGCTTATGGTTTTGATACTTACTAAATAAGCTCAGGACCTTTATGTCCATAGCACGTGGCTATGAAGTTCTTAAGCAATGAAAAGACAATCATCATACTCATTTAATCTTAAAAAGACAAAAATAGTTATGCTCGTAGATTAAATTCTCAACATACACTTTTGAATAATGTAAAGGTTAAAAGAACAAAATCATTGTCGACAGTTGGTGGTAAGCCCATAAAGGATCCATGTAAATGACAAATAACATATCGGAAGAAGAATTGCAACCACTACAGCATAGTAAACATGTTAAAATAATGCCTATGAGGATCATGAATTAGATATAAAGAAGTTGGCTTGTATTTGAAAGAAAAGTTCAACAAGAATCATCACTCCTTTAACAAACATATGTATAAATTTTACCTCAGATTAATCCAAGGTCAATGTACTCACATTGGTTGGTTGAACTACTAATAATTTTATATGAAAGTAATTATAAGACATTCTCACCCAAAACATCGACTTTTTTGAATGGAGTGTAAGTGACATATTAGGAATTTATCCCAATTTCATTCACAAGTTTTTTATCATATCAAGAGCCAAACCAAAAGTAGTTAAGCAAAAACTTCATAAGCTTTTGAAAATCGACTTCATACAAGATGTTACCTACACTACGTGGCTTTTCAATTTTGCATTGGTGAAGAGGTGATAAAAAATGGATGTTCATTGACTATACCAACCATAGTAAAACATTATTAAAGGACTCATATCCTTTATGGACAATGCATTTAGCTTTGAGATACTCAATGTTTTGGATGCAAACTCTAGGCACAACCAAAGTAGAATATATCACTTAGACAAGGACAAAATTATGTTTATTAATGAAAGGGTCAACTATTTTGACAAGGTAACCTTTAATTAAGAGTTTTGGAGCAACTTAGATAAAATCTTCAAAAATACAGTTCGAGACATTCTAGTGATGTATGACAATGAGAAGGTTTTGAAATTGGATAATATTGATGTCCACTACCTCAAGAAAGTCTTCACTAAGGACAAAAAACACATGTGTTGGGATCTTGAGAAGTGTGTGTTCAATGTTGAATAGTTCGTTGACTTTTTTTTATAATCTAAAGAAGGATTAGGCAAATCCATATAAGTGTGAAGTTATTTTTTCCATGTGTAACCCCTATAATATCAAAGAGTTCCAACAAATAAATAGGAAACTAGTATCTTTAAGTAGTTTTCTTCCAAAGTTAACTAAGAAGGAAAAATTATTTTTCAAACTACTCAAAGCACCAAGTTTGAGTGAGATTAAAAAAGTGAGATAGTATTTTAGCAAATCAAGTGAGACATTGCCTTTCTACTAGTGCTTATTACTCCATGAGTAAACTCAATCTTCTTATTGTATTTTATCATGAACAAAACAACTATAAGATTAACCCTCAAGCATAAGGAAGATAGGAAACAAAATTCAATTTATTTCATAAGTAAGACTCTTAACCCTTCAATGACATGACATAAAGTCATTGAGGTTGTAATTTCCACTATGGTCAGGTTAGTAAGACAAACCAAACACTATTTTCAGGGCTTTCAACTAGTAGTCAAAATTGACTCCCAATTACGCAAGTCTTGCAAAAGCCAAAATTTGTTAAAAAAAATGATGATTTTCTACTTTGATTTGTCTCAGTTTTTGTTATGATTTGAAATTTTTAGTATTGTGAAAGAACGACTTTTGTATGACTACTATTTGAGCTCACAACTTGGGGACAAACATGAACTATGGACATTGAACGTAAGTGATTCATAAAAAAAGAGGTAGTGGACAAGTTAAAGGAGAGTTTCAAGTTAAGGAACATCTACTACAATGTATTATCATATTATAAAAAAAGTTGAGAGATGTCTTTAATGAATTTAACATCGACCATGTCCTAGAAGAGAAAAATTATAAAGGTGACATGTTATCTTTGTTAACTAGCATAAATATCAAGGCCACATTAGATACTAACTCAAGAAACCCAACTTCTCAAAGTTAGGACTATACAAACATGTTCCACATTGGATCAGTAAACCAACATGGATGATGTTGATTATTTAGTAATTATCTTAGGACATTCTTCTAAATGCTATAATTACACATATAAAGTATGAAAAATGTTATTATTCTATACTTTCTATACTAAATAGCAATATCGAATAAAGATTTTTTCATAGTACATTTAAGAGCAAGAAACATGGCTTTTTAGATACTTTGAAGGATTATTATTGACCTACCTTTTAAGACTAATGCCAGAAGGTTTTCTTAAGAGTGTAAAGAGAGTCAATAATATGCTTTATAAAAGAATTGTGTAACATAGACCTTCACCTTTTCCTAGGGATATATAATAATCATTGGAAATTTTCCAATGGTCAAAAAACAAGTCAAATTTATAATAATAAATATTAATTATTTTACCAAATAAATAGAGGTTAACTCCCTTCCCTTCAATCATAACACATGTCGTAACATTTGTTTTTCAAGAAAATGGTATATGTTAACATGATTTATTATAAGTAATATTCATTAATCAAATATTGGCATAAGGTATATAAATAACATAGAAATTGCATAGTTTAGTTTTATATACTTATAGATTATTATTTGGTTTATTATTTTGTGGGATAGTGGGAAGAAAGGAAGTTCTAAATTTGACTACAAAATTAGAAAAAAAGAGATAAGTTAATAATGAAAATTGTAATTAAATTATAATATCAACATTATTACATATTGGGAAATAATATATCTATGAGGTGACGTGTCACATGTTGGTCTTCTTGTTTATCTTCTAAGTCCTTCATTGAAGGTGAAGCTCATAAGAGGTGGAAGTGGATCATCATTATTGGCTTGGTCTTCATTGCTTCCACATTTATTATTGGGTCCTTAGGAAGGCGTTATTGGCCCATAATATTGCATGGATGATATGATATTGTATACAAATGGAAGGGTGAATACACTAATTCTGAACATATTTGGTGGACTAAAAAAAATATATGATTGATTAAGAACTATACAAAACCTCTTAGTATAGAGATTGGAAAGACATGTGTTGATGATTATCCATGTATGTAGACATGGGAGCTTGTTGTAGACCATATTAACCAACTCTGTGCTCATTAAATTGTTGACCATAGGAAGAGAAATCAACATGTTGATAGGTTGGATTGATGAGGCTCTCATGACATGTTGTATTGTGAGAAGAGAATGAAAAATTATAAATCAATAAAAAAACATGATCAAATCTTTTAGGAAGTGAACTTACATCGTCATCCAAGCCAAGATTGATTGTGAAGGCAATGTATAACGAATAATATGATTAATGAATCATTACATATATGTTGTGGTGTCATGCAAATGACCATTATCACTAA